ATGTGGTACCATCTCACACCTGTCAGACTGGCTATCATCAACAAATCAACAAACGACAAGTGCTGGAGAGGATGTGGAGAAAAAGGAACACTTGTGCACTGCTGGTGGGAATGCAGACTGGTGCAGCCACTATGGAAGACAGTATGGAGTTTCCTCAAAAAACAAAACATGGAACTCCCATTTGACCCTGTGATCCCACTTCTAGGAATATATCCCAAGAAACCAAAAACACCAATCAGAAAGGATATATGCACCCCTATGTTCATAGCAGCACAATTCACCATAGCTAAGATTTGGAAACAGCCTAAGTGCCCATCAGTAGATGAATGGATTAGAAAACTGTGGTACATCTACACGATGGAATACTATGCGGCTGTAAAAAAGAAGGAACTCTTACAATTTGCAACGGCATGGATGGAGCTGGAGAGCATTATGCTAAGTGAAATAAGCCAGTCAATGAAGGAAAAATACCACATGATCTCACTCATTCATGGATAATAAAGACCATTACAAACTTTTGAACAATAATAGATACAGAGGCAGAGCTGCCTCAAACTGATTGTCAAACTGCAGTGGGAAGGCCAGAGAGGGTTGGGGGGCAGAAGGGAGGGGAGTAAGAGATCAACCGAAGGACTTGTATGCATGCATATAAGCATAACCAATGGACATAAGACACTGGGAGTACTTTCCTCCTTCCCCTTCCTCACCTGGACAAATTCAAAATGGCAGCAAGGTTAAATGGGAAGGTAATGGGAAGAAGCTCTGTGGAGGGAAAGAACAGGGTGGGGATAAAAGGAGAGGGGGTGGTAAGGAGCAAGGTACAGGTCTTCAATTTTTTAATAAGAAAATAAGTGTTGACCTATGAACCAGGTCGTCAGTTAGATTTCCAGTCAGGGCACATGCCCGGTTGCCGGCTCCATCCCCAGTAAGGGGTTGGGGGGGGGTGCAGGAGGCAGCCAGTCAATGATTCTCATCAGTGATGTTTCTCTCTCTTCCTCTCCCTTCCTCTCTGAAATCAATAAAACAATATATTTTTAAATAAAGTGTTTCCTGCTAGAACAATGTCCCTGACATGTGATCTAGCCATGCACGTAGGCTTGAAGCCCCAGGCCACAGCCCGGGAGACTCCAAGACCACACCTGCCCCTCCAGGATTGGGTGGCTGGCACGCTGCCTTCTGCTGGACACTGGGACAGACAGGCCCTATGGCTTCACAACCTTATTGTGGTTGAGGAATTGAGGTCAGTGTTTGTTTTTTTCAAAATATATTTTTGTTGATTTCAGAGAGGAATGGAGAGGGAGAGAGAGAAACATCACTCATGAGAGAGAATCACTGATCAGCTGCCTCCTGCACACCCCACACTCTGGATCAAGTCCACAACCCTTAAGGTATCCTCACAAATAACTGCATTTGAACATTTTGCTAAGAGAAAGAACACACTATAGAAACAGACCCATAGAGAACAGGCAGACAGCTCTGTTGGGGTCGGGTGAGAGGGGTGGAGGGATTGAGCAAAAAAAGAGAATTCATGGTCATGGACCACAGTGTGGTGATTGCATTTGGGGAGGTGTATGTGTAAGAGGACATGGGGGGAATAAATGGTGATGGAAAATAACAAAATAAAATTAAGGGGGAAAAAACATGATTTTTTTTTTTTCTAGGAGGGAGAGGGATTTTTTTTTTTTGCTTGAAAAATATCTTATATCAATTGTAAAACTTAAAGTATAACAGGTTTATAACTTTAGTAATAAATGATAAAGAAATTAAGAGGAATGAGAGTATTGCCCACAGGAAGCCGAGGCCATTGGGTCTTCCTCAGCATAACCCTATCCTCAAGTACCTTCCTCCTCCTTCCCCAGCTGGACAAACAATTCAAAATGGCAGCAAAGATTAAATGAAAAGGTGATGGGATAATGCTTTGTAGAGGAGAAAGAACAGGGTGGGGATAAGAGGAGAGGGGGTTGTAAAGAGAAAGGTAGAGGTCTTTAAATTATATATATAAAATTGATTTTAGAGAAGAAGAGAGAGGGAGAGATAGAAATCTGGATGAGAGAGAATCATTGATTGGTTTCTCCTGCTCGCCCCCTACTGAGGATCGAGCCCACAACCCAGGCATGTGCCCTTGACCAGCATTGAACCCAGGACCCTTTAGTCTGCAGGCCACTCTATCCACTGAGCCCAACTGGCTAGGGCAGGTCTTCAATTTTTTAATGAGAAAATAAGTGTCCTGACTGGTGTGGCAGGTGTGGTTCAGTGGTTGAGCACCGACCTATGAACCAGGAGGTCATGGTTGGATTCCTGATCAGGGCATATGCCCAGGTTTAGAACTTGATCTCCAGTAGGGGAAGTGTAGGAGGTGGACAAAAAAATGATTCTCTTCAGTAATGTTCCTATCTCTCTCCTCTCTTTCTCTCCGAAATCAACAGATTATTTTAAAGAAATCAACCAATGGCCCTAGCCAGTTTGGCTCTGTGGATAGATGATCGGCCCATGGAATGAAGGGTCTCAGGTTCAATTCCAGGCCAGGGCCTGTATCTCGGTTGCAGGCCCTATCCCTGACCCGGTTGCCCTCTGGTCCCAGGCATCTCTGAGGGCAGCCATGCCTGGCCTTTCTGGACCACAGTCTTTTTTATAAATTTTATTGATTTTTTACAGAGAGGAAGGAAGAGGGATAGAGAATTAGAAACATCGATGAGAGAGAAACATCGATCAGCTGCCTCCTGCACACCCCCTTCCTGGGGATGTGCCCGCAACCAAGGTACATGCCTTTGATCAGAATCGAACCTGGGACCCTTCAGTCCGCAAGCCGATGCTCTATCCACTGAGCCAAACCGGTTAGGGCTCCGGACCACCGTCTTAGCTGATTCTGAATGTAGATGCCACCTGCAAGCTGTTAGGCACAGTGACTGCCGGGCAGTGGCCATTCTGGAGTTCCAGGCCACTCGTTCTCAAAGGGTGTGGTCACCAGATCTGCAGCAGCAGGTCCCCTGGGAGCCTGTTTGGGATATGCAGGCCCCTCCCTAAACGTTCTCAAACAGAAACCCTGAGGATGCCCCTGTCTGGTTTGGCTCAGTGGATAGAGCGTCGGCCTGGGGCCCGAAGGGTCCCGGGTTCGATTCTGGTCAAGGGCACATACCTTGGTTGCAGGCTCATGCAGGAGGCAACCAATCCATGTGTTTCTCTCACATCGATATTTCTCTCTGTCTTTCCTTCTCTCTCTCTTCCAAGCTCTCTAAAAATCCATGGAAAAAATATCCTCAGGTGAGGATTAAAAAATAAATAAATAAATAAAATTAAAAATTAAAAAAAAAAGCAGGGGTAACTGTCTGGTCGTGGTGGGGGACAGGTGGGACAAAGGCAACAGACAGATGAATCCACGAACATATCTAGCGTTCAGACTGGGGCAGCAGGGAAGACAGGGCAAGCCAATGAATGCATGAATAAATAGAACAACAAATTCTCTCTCTCTCTCTCTCTCTCTCTCTCTCTCTCATCAATTAAAAAGAAAAAGGAAAGAAAAAGAAACCCTGAGAGTGAGGCCTGGTTATCTCGTTTAATAAACCCATCAAGGATCGTCCCAGCGGAGCCCTGGTCCAGCCCAGTTCCAGCACACTGTTCCCCAGGGGCCGCCTGGCTTTGTACAGCTCACACGCTAAAATGGTTTTAACCTTTTCCAATGGTTGCGAGGAAAAGCACACAAATGCATGATCTCTCAAGATAGGCGAAAAATTATTTTAGATTCCAATGCTGGTGTCCCCCAGTGAGGTTTGACTGAACACAGCCACGCCCATTTACTCACCTATCGCCTCTGGCTGCTTTGAGCTGTGACAGAGACCACGAGACCTGGAACATTTGCTGTCTGGCCCTTAGGTGAAATAGTGTGCTGAGCCCTGCGCCAGGCGAAGCTGTTTTGAAATCCACACCGTTTGTGGCCCTCACTGGTTTGGCTCAGTGGATGGAGGGCCAGCGTGTGGACTGAAGAGACCAGGGTCCTTTCATTCGCTGGGACAATTAATGGAAAAGTGTCCTTGGTTGAGGATTAGCAACAACAACAAAAGTGACTCATTAGCCGAAACCGGTTTGGCTCAGTGGATAGAGCGAGTTGCTGCAGGCTGCCCAGGACCAAACCAGAGAGGGTCGGACCTGCATTGCCAACGTTTGTCCACCATCCAGAACTGAAAAATCATTGCTGACATGTATGTGCTAGGGGCAGGGGCCTGGCAGAGAAGAATTACTGAGTGGGCTGAGGGGCAGGGACCATGGCAGAGAAAAATTGCTAATTATCTCGCTAGAAAAGACTTATTAACAAACAAACAAACAATAAAGATTTTTTTAAAAGTCTTTAAAAATTAAAGAGTTTTAGCCAGTTTGGCACCATGGATAGAGCATCGGCCTGTGGACTAAAGGGTCCCTGGTTCGATTCTGGTCAAGAGCACATGCCCGGGTTATGGGCTCGATCCCCAGTAGGAGGCGGCCGATCAGTGATACTCTCTCTTCATTGATGTTTCTATCTCTCTCTCCCTCTCTGAAATCAATAAAAATATATTAAAAAATAAGAGAGGTTAAGACCTTATCTCAAGGTCAGATAAGGGCATTACATTTTTTAAAATATATTTTATTGATTTTTTACAGAGAGGAAGGGAGAGGGATAGAGAGTTAGAAACATCGATGAGAGAGATCGACCAGCTGCCTCCTGCACGCCCCCCAGTGGGGATGTGCCCGCAACCAAGGTACATGCCCTTGACTGGAATCGAACCTGGGACCCTTGAGTCCGCAAGCCGACGTTCTATCCACTGAGCCAAACCGGTTAGGGCAAGGCATTACATGTTTTAAGGAGGGAAGCACCATGATCAGATTTTAGTTTTAGGAAGGTTACTCTCAATTCAGGGCCTTTTGGCTAAGATCAAGTGTAGGAAGATTACTCAGATGATATGCCTTAAAAATGTTAAAGAAATGAGATGCTTGTCTTTAATTCTTGGAGAAAGACTCACTCCCTGGTATCTAGGGAGGGTCAGGTTGGAGGTGGAGAGTGACACATGAGATATGCATTTTAAAACTCATGCCCCTAAAGGCCCTTACAAAGTATAAATGGAGAAGGAACACGGGAGCCAGAGGGAACTTAGAGTCAAGGGTGAAAATCAAGACCTCCACCATGTCCTCCATCCCCTTCCTCTGCCATTTCTGCCGCCGGCCCCTGAAGCTGACTCGGACTGCCTGACAGTTAAAAGGCACCTTAATCTACATGTTATTGCCTCCTACCTGCCAAACACCTGAACAGAGGTAGGCTAATTCCCCCATTCTAACAATGCTTCTGTAACCTTTGAAACCTTACCCTTTGAAGTGTATTATCTCCACCTTGCCTTAGGACAAATTGTATTAATAAAAGCAAGGGTCCTAGACAAGGAGGGACTCTTCAGTTCCTTTAGCTGAAGGTCCTCTGACCCCCAATGCCTTTCTCTGCCTCCAGGAAGGAGACGGACCTGGAAGAGCTGCAGGGGAGTGCCTCCGGCTGGACCATCCCTGATGACGGGGAGATGTCCAGGGACGATCCCAGCCACTTCACCCTGCTCGGGGAACTGGCCTCTGAGAGGACTCTCAGTAGCATCCAGAGGACCATCGCCGACCTTTGTGATGTCCTACCCGGTGAAGAGATGGACCACCCCCTGTGCGAGGACTGCACTGACAGTCTCTTGGGGCAGCTGGACAAGCAGCTCAGGATCTCAGAGTCTGACAGTCAGACCTATAAGCGCTGTTTGGAGACCAGGGATGGATGAGGTGAGGACGTGAGGAAGATGCTGCAGCAGGAGCTGAAGGTCTTGGAGCGGGAGGAAGCCAGGCTGGTCCAGGAGCTGGAGAAGGTGGAGAAGAACCGAGACAGGACAGCTGTGGCCCTGGAGGCAGCCCGGGCAGAGACGGAGACGCTGGAGCAGCAGGAAAGGCAGAGCCACAGGGACCTCGGTGAACTTCAGTGGCAACAACAGGAACTGCAGGACGAGCTGTTGAGCTTGGAGGACCGGCTGCTGTACGCCCAGACCCAGCTGGCCTGGCTGAAGAGAACCAACGCCTTCAAGGCCGCGTTTGAGATCTGCTGTGATGGCCCCCTGGCCGCCATCATCAGCTTCAGGTTGGGTTGTGTCCCCACTGTCCCGGTGAGCTGGAGGGAGATCAATGCAGCCTGGGGGCACACAGCCTTGCTGCTGCTGGCCTTGTCCAACACAGTGGGTCTGCAGTTTCAGAGGTACCAGCTCGTCCCCCGCGGGGACCACTCCTACCTGAAGTCACTGACAGAGGACCCCGAGGAGCTGCCCTTGTTCTGCACAGGGGGGAAGAACTCACTCTTGAACAGCAAGTTTGACCAGGCCATGGTGGCCTTCCTGGACTGCATGCAGCAGTTCAATGAGGAGGCCAAGAAGGGTGAGCCAGCTCTCTACATGTCCTCCAGGATCCACGTGGAGCAGGGCCTGATGGAGGACCCAGGATCCGGTGAATTCTACTCCATCAGAACCCACCTGAACAGGAAGGAGCAGTGGACAAAGGCACTCAAGCTCATGCTTACAAATTTTAAGTGGAGTCTGGACTGGGTCTCCTTAAGGTATCCTCACAAATAACTGCCTTTGAACATTATGCTAAGAGAAAGAACACACTATAGAAACAGACCCATAGAGAACAGGCAGACAGCTCTGTTGGGGTCGGGTGAGAGGGGTGGAGGGATTGAGCAAAAAAAGAGAATTCATGTACATGGACCGGGGTATGGGGGAATAAATGGTGATGGAAAATAACAAAATAAAGAAATAAAATAAATTTGTGGGTTTCTTTGCTTTATAGTATCTTATCAGATCAATTGTAAAACTGAACATACGACAAGTTTATAACTTTAGTAATAAATGACACAGAAATTAATCGAAGAGGAATGAGAGAATTGCCCACAGCAAAGCAAGGCCATTGTGCCTTCTCCAGCACAACCCTGTCCTCTTGTACTTTCCTCCTTCCCCTTCCTCACCTGGACAAATTCAAAATGGCAGCAAAGGTTAAATGGGAAGGTGATGGGAAGAAGCTCTGTGGAGGGAAAGAACAGGGTGGGGATAAGAGGAGAGGGGGTGGTAAGGAGCAAGGTACAGGTCTTCATTTTTTTAATAAGAAAATAAGTGTTGACCTATGAACCAGGTTGTCAGTTAGATTCCCAGTCAGGGCACATGCCCGGTTGCAGGCTCGATCCCCAGTGAGGGGGGCGTGCAGGAGGCAGCCCGTCAATGATTCTCTCTCATCTGTGATGTTTCTCTCTCTTCCTCTCCCTTCTTCTCTGAAATCAATAAAACAATATATTTTTATTTTTTTTTATTATTATTTTTAAAAAAATATATTTTATTGATTTTTTACAGAGAGGAAGGGAGAAGGATAGAGAGTTAGAAACATCGATGAGAGAGAAACATCGACCAGCTGCCTCTTGCACACTCCCTACT